TTTTTTTTTTTTTTTTTGGTGATTACCTTGCTTTAGTTTCAAGTACCTTTTTAAGAGGAGACAAGGAGTATTATGTTTAAACAAGGCTTCTTGTGATTTGATTTTTTGATAGTAATTTTCAGGAATTTATTGCAGTAGGTATTTTGAAGAAGAAGGTCAGTGGGAAAATTTTGTGTTTTTATGGTCCACCAGGTGTCGGAAAGACAAGTATTGCAAAGTCAATCGCTCGAGCGTTGAATAGGGAGGTCAGGCATAGTTTTTTTTTTAAATTTTATTGATTTGGCTAGAGCTTGAAGTAACGTGAAGCAGTTTACTCTTTTTTTTAAACTTATTTCTTATAAAATGTCATCGTTCTTCTTTATTTAAACTGTTTTTTATTTTTTCAAGTACTTCCGATTCTCTGTTGGCGGTATGACTGATGTAGCGGAAATCAAAGGACATCGACGTACTTATGTGGGTGCTATGCCTGGAAAAATGATCCAGTGTTTAAAGAAGGTATTTGCATGTCTCGTAGATTGTTCTACCTATATGTTCCAAGTTGTTGCTTCCTTAAAAATGAGTAGGATCTATTTCAGGTCCAAACAGAGAATCCGTTGGTACTGATTGACGAAGTAGATAAGATAGGCGGTGCAGGGTTTCACGGAGATCCTGCATCTGCTCTGCTGGAATTGCTAGATCCGGAACAGAATCATAATTTTAATGATCATTTTTTAGATGTTCCTGTTGATCTCTCTAAGGTTAATTCTGTAGATTTCTTACCTATCACGGTTAAGAGTTAGCGGCAGTATCTAATTCCCGGTTGAAGGATTCGTAGCTGGTATTTAGGTACTATTTATTTGCACCGCAAATGTTCTGGATACCATACCTGGTCCACTGAAGGATCGTATGGAAATGATTGAAGTGTCTGGTTATGTCGCTGAAGAAAAACTTAGTATTGCGACCAACTACTTGGTGCCACAATGCCGCAATGACAGGTTACATACTGAAAATACATAAATCCACTATAACGCTTAGTTTTTCTGAAGAAAAATCTTTTTCTTTTAGTTTTTTTATATTTATTTTTATTTTTTTATTCTTCTTAAAGAGTGTTGGGTTTTGAGAAACCTAATCGTAAAGTTAATTAATAACAGTAGATTAATATTGCAGTTCCCTCACAGAGCAACAGTTGGTTATTTCTTCTGAATGTCTGCAAGCTTTAATCAAACAGTACTGTAGAGAGTCTGGAGTAAGAAACCTACAGAAGCATATTGAAAAGGTGAGTCATTTTAAAGATCTCATTTTTCATTGGCTTTCTAGTCGTGATTACACTGGTCCGATTTCTGTAGATTTATCTGTTTGTTTATTTGGAGGAAAAGCTGAGAAGTAGAATGGAAAAGTATTGATTTTTGTTATTTTTCACTTTATTTGCAAACTTCAGATAGTAAGGTAAATGCTTCAAAAAGTGCTTTTTGAGGGTCAAAATCTTGCTGATTTCAGATATTTCGGAAAGCAGCGTTTCGTATAGCTGCTTCGAAAGCGCAAGAAAGTGCTAAATTGCCTATTGTGGTTGATACTGACAATTTAGAAGAGTTTGTTGGACGAGCTAAGTTTACAAGTGACAGGCTATATGACGAAACTCCTGCAGGAGTTATAATGGGTCTTGCTTGGACTGCTATGGGCAAGCTACTCTCTCTAATAAGAACTGCCTAATTTATTTCCACGTCTTAGTTCTTAAGTGATTTGGAAATAATTGGTTTTTTTTTAAACAGGCGGATCTGCTTTATACATAGAGTCAACACTCAGACGACGCTTTGTTAGAAATGTGGATGCTGGCAAAGGGAAGAAGATATTTGGGTCTGATAAAAGCGATTCACCTGACCGCGCATCAGCTGGTTCACTTGAAGCAACCGGTCACTTGGGTGAGGTTATGAAGGAGAGTATCCAAACGGCCTACACTGTGGCTAAAAATGTTATATCGAAGAAGTTTCCAGAGAACGATTTTCTGGAAAGGGCCCATATCCACGTTCATGTGCCTGAGGTTTGTTTGTCTTCATTGTTCTCTTCAGCATAGTCTCACTATATTTGTGCGGGGATGTGGTCATAAAATATTTTTTCTTAGAGGCTAAGTCTTGCTTATTTAGGATGTCTCTTTTGTCAAAGAGACATGTAGTTTTTGGTAGTGATTGGACTGTTTATAATTTACTTTTGTTATAGGGAGCGACTCCCAAAGACGGGCCTTCGGCTGGATGTACTATAACTTCGTCGCTTTTGTCATTAGCTCTCGACAAACCCGCTCGACAGAATATTGCCATGACGGGCGAGATATCTCTTACTGGCAGGATTTTGCCTGTTGGCGGGATCAAGGAGAAAATTATAGCTGTGAGTTTTTTTGATAGTTTACTTTAAAGTAATTACTTAGTCACATGTTGTTGGTGTATACACTTAATAAAGTTCTGTAAACAACTAATATATTTGCGAAACGTCTCATTTGACTTATTAGCCTTCTTCATTGTGCTACATTCCCATTTCTCTACAGGCAAAGAGAGCCGGTGTCAATTGCGTGATCTTACCAAAAGAAAACCAAAGAGATTTCGATGACTTACCAGATTTTGTGAAGCAGGATGTCGAAATTCATTTTGTATCAGATTATGATGAAATTTTCAAAATTGTTTTTCCTTGTCTGTCTTGAGCAGGTTCGGTTCTAGATTAGTGTTCTGGCGGCGGAGTGCATTACTGAGTGGATTACAGCGATTCCTTCAGATTACAAGTTAGTTCACAACTGTATTTTTTTATTCGTACAAGATCTTCTAGCGCTAGAGGACTTGAATACTAGCATTATTTATTGTTAAAAACTAGTCAAGCTAGAAATGAGATATTCCTTGTTGTTTTTTGGTGCTTCTACACTTGGTTACTACTTTCATAGACCTAGGAATAAGTTTGAATATGTTTGTGATGTTTATAACTTGCTTGAAAGTATGTAACTACCCGTATTCTTTCCATCTTATTTGCTCGACTTTTTTTTTATTTCTTATGCTGAGTATATGTGCGGTTGTTTTGAAAATATCTGAACATGAAGTGTAAGTAACTAGAGGATTTTTGGTCTATAGTCGTAGTTTTTTATACGTATTTCTAAACTTTCTCGTTATCTTTCCAGTGGAACTGGGGTTTCGGTTTACAAAGCTAATGTTGTGCTGAATGTTCGTTATTCTCTTCTTTGCGCATGTAGTTTCACTTCATATTGTTGACCTTAAATTGAAGCATAAATAACTGGATAACGTAAATGCATTTTCTTCAAAAGAATGTTCTTTTTTGCAGTGGAATATTTATTTGATCAGACGCTATTTTGGTTCTTCGTTGGAATTTAGTGAATTCTCACTTATTCCGTATTTGCGTTCTTCAGTATACTTACAGTTTTCAGTCAGTAACAGTCATGTCAAATTAGTAATTTATTCACGAACGGGTTACATTTTACTGAAGTTTTACAGAGTACACTTAGGTGGTAGATAAGTTTTCAGGGTATTTTATTATTTTTGGCCGGTGCTTCCAACTGTGGCACAAGGCAGTCGTGTACAATTCGTCTTGGTGTTTCTAGCCTTCATTTGCTGGAGCTGAGTGAGTCCTCTTAGAGATGCTGTAAGGAACTGCCAGTGAAGTAGAAGCTCTGATGTTGGTTAATTCGATTTAAATCTCGTAAGAGTAGTGGTCGTTTGATTTGGTTGATACTTCTTCATCATAATTCTTATTCCACTTTAGGTTACGAAATGTTGCAGTTCTTTGGCTGGCTAGGTAGATTACCCATCAGTGCAGCAAGATTTTCATTGGCACCTTTAAAACGCTCATCTCCTTGGCGAGTGTCAGTGGTGTCTCGGAAGTTTCTGGCAACTTTTGATGGAAAGATTCCTCTTGATAAAATTAAAACTGAAATAACTACAGATCCGACGACACAATTACCTTTAGTAATAGTACGTCTACCATTGAAAGAGAACGACTGGCTGGATAAGGAAATAGTGGAGGAATTGAGTAAAAGATATGTTTTTCGAATTGACAAGTAAGTGGTTGACTTTTCAGAAAGAAATAGTTTTGCAGGTATTTGAAGTACCGCAGGAAGTGAATGTCTGCATGTTTAGAGATGGACAACTGGTAGTAGAGTCATGCCGAACACGATCAGTTTTTTTGAATAAAGCTGACTGCGTGGACAAGTTGCGAACTGCTATTTTGGATTTGGTGGATAGTGAACGTTCAAAAGAAGTCGGTGTTTGGAAGGAAACAGAACGGGAAATTGCTGCCAGAAATGCTAGGGCTAGGTTAATTGATTTTAATAAAGCTGCGCTAAAGCAGAGTAACTCTAGCTGCAGCAGTATCAATGGGCCCGTTTGAAACACAGTGTGAAGTGATAGTTAGCTAGATTATCATTTTTCTCTCTGTGAATGGGATTTCGATTTGCATTGAGGACTAGTTGTTTGTCCTCTTTTTTTACGTAGTTGAAGGCGAGCTAATAAACAAGTACATCAAAATTGCCAGGTAATAAAATGTTGTCACCTTGTGTTGATACACTGATTACGACCCTCAATATCTATATTTTTCTGGTGCTTTAAGTGTTTCAAATTACTAGTTTTCATAGTTTATTGGAAGGAATAAATTACTTCTTCAGTTCTTTGTCCACTTTCTGTCCAAATATTCTTTGTCTAACCTTGGTATATTGCATCCGTACTTTTTACGTTTGGATTTTAGATGTAAAGGTTAGTGCAGCTTCTGTTTCTTGTTCCTTTTTTTCTTCATCTATCGCTTTAGATTTCGTGGAATTTGTGTGTTGTGATTGTCTTTCGTAGTTGGGCTGGTTTCCTAAAATAACCTGACTGTTACTATAATTATGGAAGACAAAGAAGGGCCAGCGCTTAACACCGAAGCCGAGGAAAGGGCAGGTCAGAGTCTAGAAGCAGATTTGGAAAAGGAGACTTCTGGCAGCAGCAAGAGGCTTGAAGATGAAGAAAGTGCAGGACAAACTAAAAGTTTAAAAAGTGAACGTTTGGCTGCTGAAAGTTTGTTCACTGAGTCGGAGAGGGAAGAGTTACGAAAGGAATCAGTGATTTTGAAAAACAAGGTATGTATGAAAGCCTAATTTCTGAATTATATTTTTTTAAGACAAAGTTATGCATTCTTACTCCTTTACTGGTCAGGATCAGCGCTCGTTTTAAGCTTTCAGTAAGTTCAATTTTTTCTTGAACCTGGGACTTGAGGGTATTGACCACATTTCAGGGTAATGACCAGTTTGGAACTGGCAATTATCACGAAGCCATTGAATATTATTCACAGGCTCTTCAGAAGTGTCCACTAATCTTCAAATCCGATCGGTATGTCATAAAGTTCAGCTTATTAAGCACTGAGTGTTAAATATTTCTCTTCTATTGTTTGGCCCTTGTTTTATAAGCTTCTGTAAAGTAGTTTTTGAGAAACATTCGACTTTTTTTTAAAATATTTTACCAATTAATTTCACTTGAGTAACCGGTTTCAAAATTAATTCTAAAACATTGTTTCAGAGCGATCTTTTTGAGCAATCGTGCTGCGTCATATATAAAACTTTCAGACTGGGACTCTGCAATTAAAGATTGTACAGATGCTATAGAATTAGGTATCTAAATACGATGAACAATAATGTGGACTGCACTTGCAAAATATCCGGAAGACTTTCCGTTATTTGCAGAAGTTTTAAAGTTTGCAACAGCTCATTTTTTTCCACTGACATTAGAACTAAAATCTGTAGAGCTTTTAAGGACCTCCGAACGACAAGCCTTTGGAACGTCGTGCTCACGCTTATTCCATGGTAGATAAATACTTAGATAAAGCTGTTGAAGATTACCAAACTTTAATTAGCAAGTATCCGGAGAAGCGGTCATATAGAGTTCGGATGGAAGAAGTGAATAAAGCGATTGGAGAGCGGAACGAGAAGATGAAAAAAGTAAATTTTTTTGTTTTTGTTTTTGTTTTTTTTGTGAGACCTGAAATAAGGTAAGAATTCTGTAGGCAGTGCGACTAATTTTCAACCACTTAGAAAATGCTAATGGTAGAATAATTGCAATTAGTAGCATTAGGGACAGTGTACAAACCGGCTTTCTGCATATTGCAATTCTTTGATAGGACATGATTGAGAAGCTGAAAGACCTTGGGAACATGTGTCTCAGACCATTTGGTTTATCGACTGATAACTTCGAGCTACAACAACAACCGGGAGGTGGCTACTCAATCAATTTGAAAAGGTAGCCCACTAAGGATGGGAACAAAATATTTCCTCGTGAACTATCAGTTCTTCATCCTGCACTTTAGAAGACTACTCGAAGCCTCTAGCTTCCATTCTGCTAGTCAACAAGTTCCAAGCGTACGAGGTCCAAAAACCGATAATACTTTTTTGAAACTTGTTCCTTTAAAACAGTTTTTATTTCACATATGTGAAAAACGTTCTGCTAAAAGTGTTTTGCTTTGATCCTGCTGTATGTTTTATTGTTACTTCACTTTAAAGCTAATGCCTTAAATGGCTGTGAGCTTTTCTGAAAATCTGCAACTGACTTTAAATTCTTATTTGTAGGGAAAAGCCAAGTGGACGCCGGTAAAATTACATTGAGATTAAACTTTAGTTAAGGACTCATATATCATTAAGAACTGATTTTGTAAACTTTTCGAAAGTTTTTTGCTCAATGTTTAAGGAGGAACTTATTGCTGGAAAATAATTTTTGTAAAGTTCCGTTAATACGGAAATTAAAGCAAGCTATCCACATCATTCAACAGTGTCGTTGGGTTGTCAAGGCTCTGTTCTTTAAGTGAGGAAAGTAAGAAAAAAAGAAAGGGTCAGAACGAAATTGAGGGTTTTTTATTAGTGATTATCAACATACAGTGGTACTAAATGGAAGCTATGGCGTTATTGAGCTTTTTAAAAGTTGTTGACTTGTCATTTTGCCCCATGGGTTCAAGAGTATCCTCTTTATCAAAAATTTTCTCTTGCGTGAGTAGTAAAACTTTATGAGATGAAAATTGTGTAAGGGCGGATAGAATGATCGAGAACTTCAATTTCCATTGAAAATTGTAATACTGAGGTACTTATACGACACCTCGAATGCATCGAATATTTGATCGTGGTCAAAGGCATTTTGTAATTGTCGAAGAAAGTTTGTATAAATATTCCTTCTTGTAACATTAGTCTCTGCAAAACCGACGTAAAATTTTCATTCCATCACATGCTAGCTGCATATCACATGTAACGATCGTATCAGGCATAATCAATTACCTAACTGGTGATGCTGAGCATTGGTAAAGATTACTGTACTGTGAAGGGAGCGGTTTTACTAGTTTCACAACCATGAACATCAAGAACCTGTAAGTGTTCACGCCTAGAGCCGTAATGGCAGTTCTATTTAGGAAATTACCACGTGAAAACCAGGTAGAAGGGGGTCCAACTATGATACTCGTCTAAGCTGTGTCCTTGCAAAAGCCAGTCCAGTGAACAACGACGTTTGAAGCAAATCGCACTTTGGTGGCCCATTTTGAAGCAAGTTTTTTAGGCTTTGAAGAAGTAAATATTAAAATGTCTCTGGATGGGAAGGCATGACCCTTCAAACAACGAATTTTTGCTTACTGACGTTGACGGCAAAAAATTCCATATTTGACGGCGTCACAATATCTGCGGATCTGCCTAAACCAACGGTTGCTTTGGTCACTGATCTGTACAAATTGTGCTTTTTAAAAAGTTCACATTCGTTACAGCGCTCCACATTGGCCAAGAGAGCGACTAGAGCTGCAAATTTAAAAGCAAATGAATCATTGTGGTAAGACAGGAAGAAGTGTTTAGCATCGAACTCCCGAGGGTGTCGAGAGTACTTGGTCATTTAACCAGTTCGTATAAATGATTCAAGCAACTTAGATAAAAAAGAATTTTAGTCTAAAGTATAAAAGTAGCATTTCCGAGGGCTACCCTGAACGTGGGACCTAGATAGTAATTTTTGGGTGAAATTTTTTTGCCCATTATTTTTGCCCAAAGACTAGCACCATAAGGCACGCTCTTGAGAAAAATCAGTGGACAATATAATGGCTACTACAAAAGTGGAAATACACCCTGAAACAACAAGGATCAACTTTTTAAAAAAAAGTCCATCGCTCTACTTCCTCTGCTCTCTAAATTCCCATTACATCGTGAGCTACACAATATACTTCGTAAGGCGCCACAAGGAATGGAATGGAACTTCAGTAGTATAAACGTCAGGAAGTTACGGAAAAGTAAATACACCGGTTCAGAGTGAATGAAAGTAAATCTGTTGAGGTCAAAGACTACATAAACAAAAGTGAATGGCGGTTAGAGGTGTAATAATCGTGCTTTAAGGTAAGCACGTTTCACCGAAACACCGTCAATTAATGCACTGGCGCAGTATGCAAGGCTAATTGTTTGAATCGAACTGTCCCTACCAATTTACGTTAACGGACAGCCAAGGCTCGTGCAGAAATTACGCAGCGCGCGAATTACGGGAAATACGTATCGACAGGGGCAAAACTTTAATTACTGAAAAGGCAAAATGTGTTTTGTAATGAAATAGTTTGTATCGCGCAAAGCTTGGACTTAGCACATAAAGAAAGGCACAGTGAGTAGCAAGAGTTGGAAGTTTCAGCAAACTAAAACTTTTTGCTTTGTACACTAAACTGTTAATCCTTGCTTTCCGATAAAGCTATTTGCTCTAGTCCATTCAGCTGTCCATCCTCCATCAGCAATCTGTCCGCTTCGGACGGGTTTTAATGCAAGTTTGCAAGGCCTACATTAGAAGCCGGAGAAAGAAGTCCTTAAAAGGTTGAAGCTGCTTGACCACTGTTATTGGATAAAGCTAACATATTGGTTTAGAACTCTTTAGTAGCGCATCATTTGGAATATGTCTTCAAATAACAATATGGAACTGTCAATTCCAGTTATTGATTTATATCTTTTTATTGTTCTCCTGAATCAGAACAAATAGAAAAGATGATGCTTAAGTTGTCGTACAGTTGCAGCAGCGTAACGCCTCAAGTTACTCGGCAATTCACAATTTCTAATGAAATCCCGATACCAAGCGAAATTTGGTTTTTAAGCGAAAATCATTGCCGCCGTTATGATCAAGACTCGTTTCTGTTATTACATACTTCAACTCAGCACAGTTGCGGTTGATTCTTCAACCTGCAGGTGTCCGCATGCATTTCTAAAAGCCTGAATATTTTACGAAAGCAAAAAGCTTTCAAAACGGCGTTTGTGACAGCATCAGGCAAGTATTCCAACTTTTTCGATGCTTATCGTCTCCGCATCATTCACCTGAAATCCAGACTTCTTTGTTTGATTTTTGTTAACTTTTCTAACAACCTAGTATTAACAAGTTGCGGTAATCCTTTGACACTTCATAAAACTCCTTTGTGTCAGCAGGTGGTACAGTGACAAAGCATCAATTTTGTAACCGCGATTCTAGGATTAGAATGCATTGAATTTCACCTCCTGTGCAATTCCTCTACTCACAGACCTCACATTTCTTGACCAGGTTCTGTTTTGCACAAAAATACTTATTTAATCACAATCTTTTGGTTGGTTTTGTATGGAGGAGTCGACAAATGCCGATAAGTGAGTTTATGTTTTAGAAAGTACGCTTTCATCATTTTATAAACCCCTCTAGCTGCTTCTCAGCACAAAAGAGATACAACATGAACCTGAGCTGCAGAAACAAAAGCTACACTTTGTCCAGTATCTCGGTTTTAACTGGTTTCTGTTTTCCACTACCGCGTTTTAACCGTACTACAATGCACCATTCGTAATCCATTATTCCCTCTCTTCATATTTATTATAAGATTTTTTCTCAAAATTAATTCTTCCATGTTTTGACAACTCGTTTAAATTAGGAAGCAGTTAGAGTGGTTTATAAAATGATAAAACAAAATCTAGAACATAAACTCAGTCAATGCTATTTGTCCAATATTATGTACACAACTAAAAGGCTGTGATCTAAATGGGTATTTCTGTGGAGACTAGGAAATGGTCAAGAAGTGTGAGGATTGTGAGTGGAGGAATTGCACAGGAGGTGAATTTAGCCCACTCCATATTCCTCAAATCGCAATTTGAAAATATCTGCGTTCTCCATTGTACCACCCGTTGACATGAAAAGAGTTTTACAAATAGTCAAACGGATTACAGCAAAATTTTAGTATTCAGCTTCTAGAGGGTTAGCGAAGAATAAATAGACAAGTCTGAAATTGTAATAGATAAATTGTGTTCTGTCAAAAATGCCGTTTGCAAAAGATGAAGGCTGACGACCAAAAAAAGTATGTTTAGGAATGGGCTCCCTTTGTCAACAATACTGTCCGTTTTCTTCGCCAGCCGTTTTGCCACATGTGCCGCCTGCCTCAAAATACGCGTTTTTGGTTTTAATAAACTGTCATCATTTGTTTCAATTAAGATTTTCAACCTGCCCTCATCATTATTGATTTCAGCAATATATCTTTAAATTGCTTGGTGACAGACTGCGGCTTGTCAGAATCATGTTCATTTCATAAAGCTCCGTTTGGCAAAGTAGGGAACAACGATACTTCATTTGAGTTTGCATGCGTAGCTTTTAAGGTGCTGAGGTTCAGGTTCACTCCTACGCAGTTGCTCAAGAAAAATTCCGATGGTTTTTGGACGTAAACGATCAGCCCAGGAATATCCTTGTAAGGGTGGCTTTCCAGCTATATGCGCGAAACTCGTTAGCTTACCCCATGAGATGACAGATGAAGATGGTGAAGTAATATTTTGAGAGCTTGTAGAAGAGTTGGTTTTTAAGTCTTCCATATTTAAAGGCCCCAGTGGTGAAGTCGAATTCTCCACTACTACATATTCCGTTGTAGTAGGTTTATGTCTAATCCGCAGAATAAATTGTACTTCCGGAATAGGTGCTCAAAATTAAGTTACGCTTAAATACCGCTGAATTTAATACAAATAAAGTTGTCCAAATGAAGGCAAATTGTCGCGGGGAAAAGGCACACGTTTATTAAGAAGGCACGATGAACTGCAGTAGCGTGCTGCTTCGACTTCTATCAATTTATTTCTGTTATTCTGATTCCAATGACTGTGTACTGTTCCTCCAGTGGGGAACAGCTTCGTAAGAATACATTAATTTTACCCTAATTCAAAAGAATAACTTATGCACTCCTAGTGACAGCCATTGTTCACTTTTTATTTCAGGCGTAATCGTAAAGTCAATCATTGTTCCAGTTGCTGTCTTAAATCTTGTTTGGGCTTATAATAGAAGGGCATATTTAACGGCCGCTTTGAAAAAACGTACTATGAAGGTATGGAAATGTGTTTCTGAGGCGCATAAAAGAGCTTCAGAGGGATTTTCAACGGAGGAGGAAAACAGAATGTTATTGCATCGATCTCTTGAAAAAAAAATGAAAGTAACAACCCTACAAAAATGCTTTCTATCTGTTCTATTCAATATTTTATTGAGGGCTCTTTTGCTCAGGATTCATTAATAATTCAGCGTATTAAATGGACTACTTGCAAGGCCGATATCACTCAGTTAGGAAAAAGGCCCTACTCACATTACTCTTCTTTTCCATCCAGGTCTTAATACGTTTAGAGTTGAACTCAAACTCAAATAAGTCAAAACTATACTACCGACACTCATTAAAGACTATAGCGCTGGCAACCACCCGACAGTAAAGTGGCGAGGCTGCGAAAAAAGCAGTGTACTATGAACGATTCCACTACAGCACAGCAGATTGTTTTTTTGCTTTGTAACTTGTTTTTTAAGTTCAGGGAAGTTGCGCCAAATTCTCGTGACATCGGCAGTAAGAGTTACGACAACTAATTAAAGAGAATATT